CCTTTGCTTATATAAGAGTGTGTGGTGTGTCGCTTTGCCTTAGATTAAGGCAGGAAAGGCAAAAGTGAAAGTCATATCAATGCCCATGGTACCAACTACCCCTAACACGCTAAGAGCGCATTACACAAACCAAAGTACATTCAGCGAAACGTTACCACAGCTGTCTACGAATATAATTACAAGCCATGTTGAGAAGTTTGGCAACGCTGTTCGAAAGTCAATCGGTGGGCCGATGTAAGTTTTAATGACGTTTTGTTGCTCTTGAAAAATGGCATTTTCCTCTCCCCTGTGTTTCGACACTTGGCGGGGTTAATACAGAAGAAAGATACTTAGGCAGCTTATAATTGTACATATATTTTATTTATTTACAAAAATGGATAATAACATTTTTATTTGACTTTAAAATTCGGAACGCTGTAAATTGGTAACTGCATCATAATGTGTTTTCCATCGAGATCTCCGAAATTGGTGAACTTCTGTCGAAAGAGGTCGAGGTGAAGCACACGCTTGAGCACTTAATTTCGGTAAAAGGACAGTAAATCGCTGCGCTTCAGCGAGGTTATATCAACGACCAGGTGTGATTCGGAATGGCAGACTTTAACCCAGTCGCTACTCCAGTGGGTCTAGGTACGAAGCTTTTAAAGAGGGGAGCCCCATAGACTTCAAATTCCCGTACCATGAACTCTTGGGAATAAGTTGAAAGGTTCCTTCAGAAGATCGATTTGACATGTCCCTGCTAGAATACCTGAAATACAAACTAACTGTATTTTTTCACGATAAACACTTATCGTACTTACGTACCAGGTAGTGTGTAGGTCATCTTTGAGCTTCTTACAGGTACTTTGAACAAATGAAAGTGCTTGTAAAGGGTCCAGTACGGAGTAGCCTGCTTTAGAGGTTATGGCAACAAATTGATATATTTCGTCGTTTAGCAACTTACCTGAGTAATAATTTCTGTTCATTCCGTAGGGAGTAACACAAATTGTCGCAATCTCGCTCTGTTAAAACGGGTAAATAGGAATATTACACCCAAAACACATAAAATACACTCAAAATCTGTCAAGTTGAATTAGAAAATCGGCCAACGATGCAGTGTTGCCATAATTCTCAGCACGGCTTGTAATTATAGACGGCTGTGACGTTACATAGTATGAAACATACCAAATGTCATGGGGACTTGAAACTCAGGAAGTAAGACCTTCAAAATGAGGTACCACATGACTCCATTAAAAAAAAAGTTTAAAATGGCGCACAGTCGTCATCTTGGAAGACAATTGGATGTCAAAAAGTAGTATTTCATTATCTTACTTAGCCCCCCTCCCCCTCTTCCAATTTTAAATCTCTGAACCTGTTTCTCTTTTGAAAGGGGAGGTGACCGATTTACGTCCGCATTGTATACCTGTGATACACAATATTGTAATTTAGGATTAGCTTTTTGGTTGATTTCTTATAAAGGTAGTAAAGTAGTAGTGCTTCGCCAGGGAATAAAATGAATTAAAAAATATTTCCAAATTCCTGAGATTTCAGTAGGTAAATGTGTATTGATTTGGTTCTATGTATCAAATTTCTAAAACACGCAGGCATTTAAGCAGTCTTTCCTTTAAGGCGGTAAGGGGTGCTTGAAGTAACCAGATAAGGTGTGTAAATTTTTATAAACTTTCTACAATGCTGTGACCTGTGGCGATACCATTAAAACCAAAAGAGTTTCCAATAGCGCAAATTATTCTTGGATTACTAATTGATAATTGTTTCATTTTTTTGGTAGTTTAAATCATTGTCAAAGCTAATTCTACATAAATTGAATTAAGTTATAAACATTTTCTCAAAGTCTTATAAAATGTTTACGTCGTTTATAAAGCTAATCTAAAATAATAGCAAGGACAGTCAACTGAAATAGCTTTTGTGTTTCAGAATACAATTTTAAACTACCTCGTAATTGCTAAATGTTTTGGCCATACAAAGGAACGTAATTAGGAGATACCGACAAGCAAATAATAGGTGTACCACGTATGATTGTGAAGGCAAATTATGTATGCTAAAAACTATTAACATACTGACATAATTCAGTAAACGTTTGGTTTAGGGGTATTATTTCACCTCCAGCATTTTTAGCGATCCAGTTAAAAAAACTACGTTTTTGGTTGATTCCTTTGTAGGTACTCTGAGGATAACAATGTTCTACCCCGCTGGACCTAGCCCCCCCCCCCACCAAATTAATTTTTATTCATGAATTACGAGCTATTTAAGAGCTTTCATTTACAAGTAATTTCGATTTGAGGGCCACTCTTAAAGAGCAAATAGATATAATCGATGGGGCGGCCCCTTCCAGTTGTGCTTGTGACTGTGTTACAGCTTCCCAGTGCGTTTAGTACTTGTGTGTGCATCCAAGGAAGAGTCCCGAATCTACTACATATGAGTTCATTTTTTATTCAATGATATGAGTCTAATTCTGCAATCGGTGCTTTGCTGTCTGTTACTCTAAAGATTTTCCTTTTTGGTAAGGTTTTCTGTTAATATAGCAGCTGCCGTCAGGATTGCGTATACTTCGGCTAGGAGCATGGTTGCTTTTTGTCCTAGATTCTGAAGCCCTGTCCATTTCTTCCGTACACTCCACAGCCGGTGCCCTACGTAGCTTTTGAGCCATTTGTGTAATACACGATTCCATTCCGCTTTACCTTACTGGTATCACATACAACATATTATGTTGTCTGTGCTGGTATTATCCATCCGTATAGAGCGGGGATTATCATCTTAAACAGTTTTTTATCACAAACTGTTGTGGTTATCCCCTCAGTTATCCTACCGGCGATTTATTTTTAGAGATTTCATCAAAGATTTAGGGAATGCCTCACCCTTAACGATTCCTCCTCTCCATTGACTCTATATATGCCCGTCTGAATGCCTCTGCCATATTTACCAGGTGTAGTGGCGGTCAGTTCATATAGTCTCCATAGCTACTATCAAGAACGTTATCATTGCCTTCGTTCTAATTCAAGCTTTGCGCTGCACCTTGATAATTATCTGTTTGTTCTTCTGGGCGAAGGTCTTAATCCACCACACCAGTGACGCCTACGTAATAAGTGGTATAATTATTTTAGTGTATATCCAGTGGGTGTTCCCCACAGGGACCTTGTGACATTGTTCGCTGTTTTTCCATTTGTGATTTGAAGGTAAGCGCTTGCCAAAGTATTTTACCTTCTCTCACTACCTGTAGCTTGGTGCCCTACATTGCAACTTCCTTTAGCTTTTTCGGCCCTTTTGTGCGTGTGAAATGCTAATGAGGTTTGTTTCTGTTGAATTAACAGACAAGCCCTCCTCTTCGCACTATATGTTCCCACTAGATTTGAAGCTCCCTGCCTCACAACTGATACGGTCTCCCAAAATCCGCTACGTACTACAGTCACTATGTCATCGGTAAAGGCAACACTGTAATGTAACCCGCATCTTTTAATTTCCAGCATTTTGGCTTTCGATCCTTTTCGGGATCTTCTCACGTTCTACTTGAGCGCCCCGCAGCTGCTCTTGCTAGCTCCGACTTCAAGCAATCCACCGATACCTGGTTTGCGCATGCGATCAGCAGCCCTCTCCCTCGTGGCGAAATTCCGTAAATTGGGGAACACCGTCTCAATGAACAAAGCGTCGACTCTGTCAAGGATCCAGGCTTTGATTTGCCATATCTCCTCTTCCCACAGCGTTCCCTCCAAGTCTTCATGAACAAAAGCAATAAGGAAACTGTAGCTGCTTAGCTAATGGCTCTGGTATCCTTTACGGTCCAGTTTTTGCCTTTTAGGTACTTCCCTTGGGAGTGCTGCCATCAAACCGGTGTTGCTTTTCAGTCCCAGTCTTCAGTGCAGTCTCGGTAGGTGCGTTACCTGGTTGCTTAGAACTCCCAGGTTGCGCCCACTTCATCAGATGGGAGGTCAGGTTACCGAGAGCATCCTGGTTCATGTCTCACTTTATTAGCTTCCGGCGCGCCGCTCTGAAGAGTTTTTATTCTCTCTAATATCGGTGCTCTGGGATAGTGCTGGGCGATAAATGAAATTGTTATCGATTTATCGATCACTCTGTTTAGTCGGATAATTATCGATTAATCGATAATTATCGATAAGTTATCGATTAATCGTTTTTTTACCTGGGAGTAGTTTGTTGTGTTTTCTGTTTTTTTCTTGGACCATAAGAGTGCCACGAGTATGGGAGGAAAGAAAGTCCACACGCGTCGTGCCCCTTGCACACGTGTAAAGGCCTGGCACCGAGCCCGCACAGAGATAGTCATGTCTCGGTGATGAATTGCACTGTAGTCTTCACCTCAACGCACCGTGCACGCACACGGTGCGGATTCGGTGCGGTCATGTGTGTCCAGGTCTATAAGTAAATGCAGTGCAATGGACCTGGCCACCCTCAGCGATTAACTATTTGACCTATTGAGGATGGAGCTCCAAAATTAGACTTACTTATTAAATGAAAACCAGGATGAAAACTTTTCAACAGCTCGTAATTCATGGACAAAGATTAATTTGTAATAAATAAAGAAAAACAGATTAGGGGCTACGCCAGAATTGACCTGGCCGCTCCCAAGATGACATCTATTTGCTCTTTTTAAGAGTGGCGCTCAAAAACCGAAATTACTTGTAAATGAAAGCTCCTAAATAGTTCGTAATTTCAGTACAAAATTTAATTTGAAAAAAGTAATTCTGATCAGTGGGGGGGGGGCTGAATCCAAGTAGACTCGGCCACCCCATAAGAAATGTTCGATTCCTAGTGATAAAAGCGAGCTCTAAAATTTTAAGCTTGCGATATGAAAAGCTCCTAAATAGCTCATAAATTGGATACCATTCTTAAATTGATTCACAATGGTGGGGGGCTAGGAACAGCGAGGTGAATGTTCTTGGTGGCCGGCTATAATTATAACTTATTAAGCTCATAAATCATAACAATTTGTGTGAGTAAAATAATAATGCTTACCGAATAGATGCTGCAGAAAAATAATTTCCACAGAAGGATAAAAAATAACACATAATTTATCTATTAGCACACTGAACTTACAATTTTATTAACTAAAATGGTAAGTGTATTTAACCCGACACCTCTATCAATGTTTGTCCTTTATGTCCTTGACGATACACTTGCAAAAATCGTATACCCGGTCGCATGAATCTTTGTTTGAAGTTTGAACAGCATCCTCGCACCCTTGTATATTTTCTCTGGTCATTCCTTTATAATCAAGGAGTTCGTCAGTAAAATGCCCGTTTTTGTCAACAAAATGATTTTTCTTGTACACACAATCCATAAAGCACTTCATCGACTCGGGTATGTTCCATGTTTTAACCATTTCTGCAACATCGTGTGGCGTAGTACCATCTCCTTCTGCCAAACATGCCATTTTTACATGATTTATGGCTTTTTTCCAACTGTTGGAAATAGGATGGGGTACCTAAAAACAAATCTTTCAATACACACCTACAATAAATTGAAATTCAGGTTAGTACCGTATCGGACACAGCAGTTGATACGAAGAATAGTATCACTATACTATTAAGAGCCAATTTAGTGGACGACATGTTGCGATCACTGCTAGACTATGAAGATACATTTTTTGCTGAGCAGCATTTTATTGTAAATGTGTATCTTATCCTTATCACATACTTTAAACTTTGGCTAAGTTCTATCTATAATTGATATTTTGTAGAAATGCATGGTATAGCACTGTAATTACAAAGTGACCGTAGGTACGTAAATAAGTTAATTACCAGTTTATCACTTTGATACACGTTGAAGGTTGACTACCATAAAAGTCTACTTAGATAACGCAGCTAAATTACCTATGGAAGTACTTTGTATTGCAATACAAGTTATTCTAACGTACAACGAAGAAATATTACAAAATAAAACCTTGAAACCCTGCATTGGAGCTATGAAATCTGTTCCAACTCACGCCCTGCATGTCGAAGCACAGGAACCTCCGAATGATTTACGTAGAAAATTCAGCTGCTAAGTACGTAATAAAACTAACAAGTTAAAAAGTCATTATGCAAACATAAATGACGAGAGCGTATTTTCCTCCTAATAATATTAATGCTAGGACCGGTATAAAATACCGATCGACAGGAGATCCTTACTCCATTCTCTTTCAAATGAGCCGCCTATCGTCGAAGTCTATACAGTTTAGTGAAAACAGTGGAGCGTATACAAATACAAACACACTTTGAAATGGGCATTATAGTACAGTCAAATTAGACCAAAAAATGGGCATTCCGTGCATCAGATATGTCATCTCTAATTTTTCTTTTAAATTGTTAGGATCAATATGGATGTGAAAAATCCAAGTGTTCGACATTGAAAGACCTGTGCGAGCGACACAGCACTTGAAAATATGTCATTTTTCTTACCATGTTTTGGTTTTTGTAAGTTTTACTCCTGAAGAACCGATTTTAATGCAATTATTGTCGTATACTTTTTTGAACTAGACAAAATTTCTGACAATTTAAGCCCTTAACGATCTCCGCAAGTCTAATAGTTTCCGAGATACGGCGCTTCAACTATTGGTAAATTTATTAGTTTTACAAGTTTTATCAAAATTTCCGTTTGCAGAAAGGAAACTTACAAAATTTGCAACTTGTTGTTGAAGAAGTGCTAAAAATTGCAAATAATGAAAGCAAATTAAATATTGATTTTTGTCTTTTAGTGGAAAAATATCCATGTTTATATGATGCCTTATTCAAACCATGGTGTTGTGAGTAAGCTTTCTGCTACTGTCACATACCTTCTATAATCGGTGTCCCTTGTCGAGCACGGTCAGGCAAAAGGAAAAAATTGACAGATTTCGCAATCCATGCAACAGGTAATGGATCTTGCTGAAGAAGAAGATGACAACTTTCTTATCATGGGAGATGCTGGGGATCCAAAGGATGGATATCAAGATTTTAGCTCTTTCTGTGCGGATTTATGGAGACTCCTCATCACAAAGTCCCCCCAAACGAACAAAATTATAAAAATGTTCATGAGGTTTTTATGCAAAAAAAGGCACATTCGATTAAAACTGAAGAATTTACGAATTTTTGAAACGCTGTATCTCCAAAACTATTAGACTTACAGAGCCGGTTAAGGGCTTGAAATGTCACAAATTTTGTCTAGTTTAAAAAAGTATAGGCAGTAATTGCTTTAAAATCTGTCCTTCAGAACTAAAACTAACCAAAACCTAAAAATAATAGAAAAAATGGCGTATTTTCGAGTGCTGCATTGCTTGCACAGGTCTTTGGATGTCGGAAACTCGGATTTTGGACATCCATACTAAGCCTAACAATTTAATAAAAAAATAGAAATGACACATCTGATGCAAGGTATTATGATAATTTGACTGGACTATTAGTTTTACTTTTATTCGAAGTGTGTACTGAAACTTTTATTAATGCTTTCGTAAATAGCATTGCGTATTGTCTACATTACAAATTTCATTGAATACCAACCTTCATAAATAAAACACAGCATGCGTAAACAATAATTTTGAAACCGGTATTAGTTTTAGTTTCATTCAAAGTCCTTACATATGATATTTCATTTAACCGCTTTCATAAATAATAAAATTGCCATTGCGCATGCGCAAAACCAAAATTTTGACACAGCGCATTCGCAAAACCAAAAAATATCGGTATGCACGGAATTCTTGGACCAAGCCCTTTCAAATGAGCCTTATATGGGCCAAATCCGTTCAATAGTGTAGAAGGAGTACGTGTGACGGACGAACGGACGATTTACAAAGTGCACCCAATAGCGATTTCTCACTTTGAGGAAAATACGCTAAAAACTCACGTCGATATATACAATCCCCAATATAACATCACAACAAACTTGACTGATACTTATGTCCACTGTTTCCTCCATATAAGTACTCCATGATATAAAGTTTGACTATAGATATAGCAGAAAAACATATTTCATTTTTACTGATGGTTCAAAAAATGACCGATGGGTAGTCTGTGCGTTTTATGATCACACGAACAATACCCATAGGTGAAGAAAAAAGCACATAGTATGCAAGATTCACCCACATTTACTGCAGAAACACTGGTCCAACAACTACACAGTTAGTAAAAAGTATTCTACCACGATAACAAGATTAAAATTTGGACATGGACAATTCCCATCTCATCTATTTAGAATTGGCTTGGAGTACTGGAATCACCAAATTGTACGTGTGGAGATCAAATAGGCGTTTTTAATTCTAGAAGCCACATCGACTTAACCAAAAGTCTAACTAAAGATTCTATTACTTACAAACATAGTAGCATTATCATCTACTAACATCAAAAAGATTTCTCGTACAACCACCAAGACTACTATATATACCTAATTAAAAATTGTAAAAAATACAAAAAACCTTGGTTTCTTTATTGTTACAACCGTGGTCGTTCGTGTTATGTTTAATAAAGCCTCATTGAACGACCGCATGGAGGAAAGCGGGTGAACCATTTGTATTAATCCAACAGTCTTGATCAGTAGAATGTCTATGTTGGTAAAGAATCAAAAGCAGAACATTTTTGAAACAAACTTATCCAATTAGGTATGTAGTGAAAACATTTTTAGAACCTTACTACAATGAAATCATTTATTGTATACGTGAATGACGTGTTTATATTCCTCTTTTCAATACTGTTTCGCACTTTAACAATTTAGAAATGTTACCTAATGTGCATATTAACTAGGTAATCTACAGATTGCTACTAATTTAAAGGAAATTTCGCACTAAAAAAAAACGAACTTCAGGCTCTAAACATTCATATGACAACCTAATAAAAAGACAAACTGTGACATAACATAAGAATTATAACAGTAAAGTACAATATACAGCAACCATCAACATTCTTGTACATAACATAACATAGCATCGGTACAGGCTCAGGGGGGTGACATAATTTCCCGGCTAAGCAAAAGATTGACACGAAAACTAATGTTCGGTCACTACATGTCAAGGGTCGATTAAACGAATCGATTAGCAATATCAGCAAGGTGCATAAAAATAAGTACTTAGATAAAATATATCTCTGGCGTACGTCAGATTGTCAGGTAAAAACTGAAAAGGAATAAAGAGCACCAACTAGCCCGTAGAGATAAATTTTGGGGTAGCGAATTCAACGCTGTATTGCTCCCGAGATTGCTCCTCGTATATATGTAGTTTAGAAAAGAACAGAAATCTCAACATATATTTTTCAAATAAAGCGCTATCACGTATCCGCAAAGCGACGTCGAACACACTATTTAGCCCTGTGGGGGTCATGTCCCCTTCAGATCTCTGATACAAGTTATATTTGGATTGATAATAATAACAGTAATAATAACAATAACAGTTTTGATTATTTGTAAATAAATTATAATTATACATATTTTAATCACATCGATACTATTTTTGACTTTAGCTAGACGACAAAGAATATAGGCATGCGATATTTTTTGCGAGTATCAACCAATGAATCACAGTGTTTGAAAAAGCGCCCTTCATTATGTAAGTTGTAAGAAAACATGTCGACAATCTTCTCTGTACCCAAGCTGTACAATAATCCTTACTACTTTAAATTGTATTTTACGTAACAGTTTTCAACAGGCGTAGTAATCCCAATAATCGAATAAACTAAATGACTCTGTGCTAGAGCAAAATTTGAGTCATTTGACATCAACATATTTGCGTTACATCAAAAATGTTTGCTCGCGTATAGGTTATCCGATTGGCGAACTGCTACTTCAATTTCAGGGTTACCTTACTGGCAAGGTAACTTCGTCAGCATAGAGTAAATATTGTCAGTTTTGTAATTTGGCACATCATTGGTGTGTATTACAAACAAGAAAGAATCGTGGTTACTACCTTGTGGTACTCCTGTAGTTATACAAAGGTTATCTGATAAGTCATTGTTTAACGTAACACATATCTGTTTGTCAAATATGATTCTGACTGATGACTAATCTTTCATGGCTTCTCGATGTTTATGGGGAATTCTAGAATATACGTTCTTCTTTCTATCTAACAATTTGGTTTGGTTCATATCTTGAACACAATACCTTGAGGAATCCGGTAATGGATTCTTTTCCGTCATCACGGCTGGATTTTTTACATCATATGGAATTTCATCAACATATACCTTCGTCAGTAGTTTTACCTTTGAATATGCCATCGGGACCTTTCTATTCTATAAGTGTAACGTTTATGTAGCGTGAAAATCTCGACTAGTTTAAGTGAATAAACAATGGCCCGTATGAATAAAAGTAAGCAAATACTATACTTATACTTATATACTTACTGCTATAGCTGAACTACTCACTTCCTACACTACTCCCTACTTATAATATGTAGTTACCAAATTACATTATCCAACAATTTATACAAGATGATTGCTGGTATCCATGCAGACTCATTTGTAAAAAAATGTACATATTATTTTATTGCTAATTACCTTAATCCGATTTCCTTAGTAAAGAATAAATAGACTCATCTGATTTTCACCGAAAATGAAAAAAAAGCTCTCTTCTGCCTTCGACCACCTTGATGGCATACACAGAATCAAATTATTGACATACTGTCCTCAAATACTCGCCAACTGTAACGTTTGACATTTAATCGAGTAATAATAAGTTGAAGTAGTTCTATATGATAGGTCAC